CCCCCCCCGAGCAGGACTCCCCAGTGAACAAACTGCTCTACGCCCGGGAGATCCCTCGCTACAAGCAGATGGTGGAGAGGTACGTGCGGGCAGGCCGGACGGGCGGGCGGACGGCGCCGGCGCTCACTGCCCCTTCTCCAGGTACTACGCCGACATCCGCCAGAGCGCACCCGCGGGCTACCAGGAGATGAACTCGGCTCTGGCCGAGCTCTCTGGGGTGAGGCAGGGCCCACACATGCGCTTTGTGTTGGGGGAGAGGGGAGGACCGATGGGCCAGGGAGGCTGGGGCCTAGACTGGGGCCTCATCCCTGTGTCCTGACATGCGGCCCCCAGAACTACACGTCTGCTCCCCACTGTCTGGAGGCCCTGCAGGGACTCTACCACCACATCCACAGGTATTATGACCAGGTGAGGCCCGGCTGCTCCGGAAAGACCCACTGGGAGTAGCGGTGTCCAGGCCGCCCTGGCGCAGGGGCCGGGGGGCGGGCTGGGCTGCGGAGCGGCCTTCTGCCAGCTTCCTCCGGAGGCCCCGCTGGCCCGGGGCAGGGAAGGCTCGCGGGCACTCACCTGCCTCCGCCCTGGCAGATCATCTGCGCCCTGGAGGAGGACCCGGTGGGGCAGAAGATGCAGCTGGCCTGTCGCTTGCAGCAGATCGCCGCCCTGGTGGAGAACAAGGTGACCGACCTGTGAGCCCGCTGCAGTCAGCAGGCGAAGCCCCAGGATGGGACCATCGGTGGCAGAGGGCTGGGCCCCCGCTGCTCCTCCTCCCCCACCAGCGCCTCTAATTTATAGCCACCCCCCGCCCCCCACTGGCCCCCACTGTATTTATTTGCTTGCCGAAGACTCACAAGTGGAAATAAAACAGACAGGTGTTTTTTCAGAAAGCTCCCAGTGTGTGGTCCCTGCTGCCTCGGGGGTCTTCAGGCACTCCCAGCCGGGGCGCCCCCTGCCTCCCCCACACCCTCCAGCCACGCCCACCCTCAGAGGTCTCTCTTGGGAACAGGGCTGCCGCCGGCGGCTGCACTCTGACTTCTGCCTCAAAGCAGCCAGTGGGCATCTGAAGAGCCAGAACGCCCGGCAGCCTCTGCCACCAGGGTCCATAGGTTCCTGCAAGGACCCCCACCCCTGGCTGCTCTGCTGCCTCCCGGGGCCCCTCACAGCCACTCCGAGCGCTCAGTTCTTCTGGTCCCTGAATGCTGGCCCGGTCACCACCTGGCCTGGCCCGGGCTGTCTGTAGCCCACAGAGAGGCCCCCAGGGCAGGACAGGCCGATGGCTCCCTGGGCCTGCCAGCCACACGTGGCACACGTGGCAGCGACCAGCTCGGGGCAGAGCACCGATCCCGGGCGACTCGCACCCTCGCTCGGCCAGTGCCCCAGCGACGCCACGTTTGGGGGGGGCACCGGGCTCCCTGGCCAAGGAGCAGCAGGAACCGGGCAAGAGTGGGCAGCAGACAGGGCGCCATGCGGCCGAGGGGCTGCCTCCGGGAGGCTCCCATGCGGGCCAGGCGGGAAGGCACTGTTCCAAAAGTGTTGCTGGTGCCCTAGAGGGCCCGCCACCCATGACCACAACCCCTGAGTCTTCGAGTGGAACCTCCCGCCGGTACACAGGGCTTTGCAGTACGGGGCTTAGGCTGGGGACCCCGTTGCTATCAGAGTCCTGGACGCAAGGGCTCGGCCCACTCAGTGGCTACACCCCAGTGTGGGTATCACCCTTGGTCCTGGGGCTTGGGGGCGGGGGAGGGGGAGGCTGAGGCTGAAGGCCAGCCTGCCATATCCCCGAGGGGCCGCCATCAGCCCTGGGGGCTTGCCCCAGGCTGGCAGCTGGGTCTGGCCACTGCCCCTCCCCTCTGCATACCTTGCCCGCAGCCGAGCAGCTGGGAGGCTATTTATAAAGGCGGGTGAGGTCAGCAGCCGCCGCTATAAATGCGCAGGCCGTGGCGGCCCCACAGGAGCGGCTGCCCAGGGCGCAGTGGGCCGCTCGGCTGGCCGGGATGAAGGCCAGCGCAGGTGGCGGGGACAGCGGCGGCAGCAGCAGCAGGTAGGGCCGGGCCCGGGCACCATGGGGGAGGGGCCTGGAGCGTGCTCACCGCCTGACCACCCACCCCACCCACAGCTCGCAGGCCTCGTGCGGGCCCGAGTCCTCGGGCTCTGAACTGGCCCCAGCCGCGCCGGCGCCACGGATGCTGCAGGGGCTTCTGGGCTCTGATGACGAGGAGCAGGAGGACCCCAAAGACTACTGCAAGGGTGAGTTTGAGCTCTGGCCTGGGATGCAGCAGCCACCGGAGGGGCCTCCAGCCTGAGCGGCCTCGGGTGTCCGGGGGTGCAGAGGGAAGCGGCTGCCCTCACCTAAGCTCTCTGCTCTCCCACGCCTTCCCCAGGCGGCTACTACCCTGTGAAGATCGGGGACCTGTTCAATGGGCGGTACCATGTGGTGCGCAAGCTGGGCTGGGGCCACTTCTCCACGGTCTGGCTCTGCTGGGACATCCAGTGAGCGCCCCCCCCCACCCCACCCCACCGGGATCCAACCCCTGGGCTTGGCGGAGGCACCCACGAGAGCACTGTGGGTCTGGCAGGGGCCAACCGGCTCTCCGGGTTGCAGGCGCAAGCGCTTCGTGGCCCTGAAGGTGGTGAAGAGTGCCGGGCACTACACGGAGACAGCTGTGGATGAGATCAAGCTCCTGAAATGTGTGAGCACCTCCCCGGGCCGCTGCGCCCTGGGGCCGCCACCGGGGCCTGGCAGCTGGGGTGGGGCCAGCCGGGCTTCCTGGGGAGGCGGGGCCGGCAGGGCCGGCTCTGGCTGCCTGGGCGGGCCGAGGGAGGACCAAGAGTGAGGGGGCCCAGCCAGACGGGTCAGGGTGCCACGGGAAGCAGCAGGTGAAAGGCAGGTGGGAGCCATCCGTCACCCCTCGGCTTTGCTCCAGGTCCGAGACAGTGACCCCAGTGACCCCAAAAGAGAGACCATCGTCCAGCTCATTGATGACTTCAGGATCTCAGGGGTTAATGGTGTCCGTATCCTTCGGAGCCTGGCAGGGCAGGGGTCACCCCCATCTGTGAAGTGGCTGTGTCCCTTCTAGAAAACACCCCCCACTGTCGGGGAGTGCATGAACAGGCTGGCTTTGGTTATCCATGGATGTTGCCGATACCCCAGTTGGCAGTGTTGTCCCTTCAGGGGCCTGCCCATGCCCAGAAGCCTTGGGCACACTTGGGCACAGCAGTAGGGCCGGCCTGAGGCCGTCTGCTCCCCCACGCCCTGTCCCCAGAGGGCCATGGAATCTCCCTTCCTAACTGGTACCTGTTTGAGCAACACGGATGCCATGACGACACCAGGCGGTGACTGCCAACCTGCCCCAGGGCTGCCGTGCCACCCCCATGCCCACCTCACTGGTCCCCATCCCAGCCGAACACGGGGCCCGTGCCTGGGCCGCCCTTCACTCCTGGCCCCAGATGTGTGCATGGTGCTGGAGGTCCTGGGCCACCAACTCCTCAAGTGGATCATCAAGTCCAACTACCAGGGGCTGCCCGTGCCCTGTGTCAAGAGCATCGTGAGGCAGGTGAGGCCATGGCGCCTGTGTCCAGAGCACGCAAGGCCGCCCGCGGGCTGCGGGGCTTCAGGAGGCATGTCTGCAGGTGCTGCACGGCCTGGACTACCTGCACACCAAGTGCAAGATCATCCACACGGACATCAAGCCCGAGAACATCCTGGTGTGCGTGGGCGACGCCTACGTCAGGCGCCTGGCCGCAGAGGCCACCGAGCGGCAGCAGGCAGGGGCGCCGCCTGCCCGCTCCACAGGTACCCGGGTCTGCTCCGGCCGGGCTGGGCTCTCTGGGTCTCGGTCCCTGCCTGAGTCTGCTCCGTTCTCTCCTCACGCCGGCTCACCAGTCAGCACAGCCCCTCAGGAGGTCTTGGTAAGTTGGGGCACCCCTCTGCTCCTGCACGCATCCCCCATCTCCTTGGAGCTTGCTCCCCACCCCCTCCTGCAGTGGCACCTCCAAAAGCCTGGGTGGCTGAATGGGGGAGGGGGCAGTGGCTGCCAGCTGGCCGCAGCCCCGTGGCAGAACAGCGTGCTCAGCCGCCGCAGGTAGGCCGGCTACTCCGTCCACCTCCCCACCCCAGGCTGGAGCCTCAGGAAGCGGACAGCAGAAAGGCAGGCAGGCGGGGGCGAGGGGCCAGTGCCAGAAGGTGGGCTACAGGGTGTGATGCCCCAGCTGGTGTCCACAGGTGCCCCAGGGCGCAGAGGTCTTGGCCCCCAAGGCAGCGGCTCAGGCCGGTTGGGGGCCAGTTCGGGGACCCTGTGGTGACCCCGGCTCTAATGGCAGACTGGCAAACTATCGAAAAACAAGAGGAAGAAGTTGAGGCGCAAACGGAAACAGCAGAAACGGCTGCTGGAGGAGCGGCTGCGCGACCTGCAGAGGCTGGAGGCGGCGGCGCAGGCGGAGGGTGCGCGCAGGGGCCAGGGCGTGGGGCTGCCGGGTGCCAGCAAGGAGCCCCCTGCTCACTCGCCACTTGCTGTCTCCCAAGACTCTGGCTCCAGACTGGAGGGGGGCAGCGGCTCCACCTCTTCTTCTGGCTGCCACCCAGGGGGGGCCAGAGCCAGCCCCTCCCCAGCCTCCTCTTCTCCCGCCCCCGGCGGAGACCGCAGCCTCAGCCCCGGCTCGCAGACCTCCGGCTTCTCGGGCTCCCTTTTCTCTCCGGCCTCCTGCTCCATCCTCTCTGGCTCGTCCAACCAGCGGGAGACCGGGGGACTCCTGTCACCCAGCAGTAAGTCGGGGGGGGGGGGGGCAGGGGTCAGCAGGAGAGGCCAGCTCATCCTCTCCCTGCCTGTCCTTTCCTTAGCACCGTTTGGTGCCTCGAACCTCCTGGTGAACCCTCTAGAGCCCCAGAATGCAGACAAGATCAAGATCAAGATCGCAGACCTGGGCAACGCCTGCTGGGTGGTATGAGGGGACCGTGCTGTCAGGGTGGGGGCACAACTTCACTCTGGGGGCCCCAGACTGGCCTCCCAGCTTTGCTCACAGACCACCCGAGGGTTGGCCTCCTGCCACAGACCCAGGGCCAAGCTGGCCTAGCATCCGTCCCGCCCAGCCCGCAGTCTGTGTGAGGCTGAGGGCAGAAGGCAGCCCTCACGGGACGTCTGAGAACCCCCAGGGCAAGTCCCACCAGCTCCTCGGTGCAGGATCAGCACGGGGAGTCAGCACGGGGAGTCGTGCGGAGGCTGGCCAGCTGCAGCCCCAGCTCCCTCAAGGAGCTCCCTCGCCCACAGCACAAACACTTCACCGAGGACATCCAGACACGGCAGTACCGAGCTGTGGAGGTGCTGATCGGCGCGGAGTACGGCCCCCCAGCTGACATCTGGAGCACAGCATGCATGGTGGGCCTGCCCTGTCCTCCCTCCGCCGTCCCCCGCCAGAGCCATGCCCCCACCCACAACTCACCTCTGCACCCCCCAGGCCTTCGAGCTGGCCACCGGCGACTACCTGTTTGAGCCTCACTCCGGAGAGGACTACAGCCGCGATGAGGGTAGGGGCGGGCCCCGGGCTAGCGCTGGCTCGGGCCCCGGGCCCCGGGCCCCGGGCCCCTCTCACCGCCTCTGTCCACAGACCACATTGCGCACATCGTGGAGCTCCTGGGTGACATCCCGCCCGCCTTCGCCCTCTCCGGCCGCTATTCCCGGGAGTTCTTCAACCGCAGAGGCAAGGCTCGGGATGCCCGAGGTGGGGGGGG